CTTTAAAAGGAACCAAAAAACTATTAACTGTTTAGTATGGCTGTTAATCTTAAAGACATTTAGACGCCAGGCAAGGTGGCTCATGCCTGTAATCCCAGCACTTTGAAAGGCCAAGTTGGGTGGATCATTTGGGGTCAGGAGTCCTAGACCAGCCTAGCCAACATGGTGAAACCTCATTTCTACTAAAAATAAACTGGCCAGGCATGGAGGCATGCACCTGTAGTTCCCGCTACTTCGGAGGCTGAGACAGGAGAATCACTTGAACCCAGGAAGTGGAGCTGCAGTGAGCTGAAGTTATGCCACTGCACTCCAGCCTGGGCAACAGAGCGAAATTCTGTCTTACACACACAAAAAAAGACATTTAGATGCAATTTGTCCTAGGTGTTTTATTTTCTCCATGATCTTGTCTATCAAATGCTTTCTTGCGGAGCTTACTATAAACCAATTGAGAGTAGCCTTTTATCCAAATAAATTTCAATATGGTAGACTAATCAGGTTTTACTTAACTAAATCAGTAACCACTAAGTAGGGGAATAAATATATATTGGAAGAATGTGCATATAAGACATGAAATTTGTTTAAAATAAGAAAGTACAGGATAGAAAAATAAATTTAAAATGTTCACAATATAAGAGAGATTGCTCACAGCTGGGCGTGGTAGCTCACACCTATAATCCTAGCACCTTCAGAGGCCAAGGCAGGCAGATCACTTGAGCTTGGGAGTTTGAGACCAGCCTGGGCAACATGGCAAAAAATACAAAAAGTTGGCCAGGCATGCTGGTGCATGCGTGCAGTCCCAGCTACTTGGGGAACTGGGGAGAAGGATCGTTTGAGCCCAGGGAGGTCGAGGCTACAGTGAGCCATGATCGTACCACTGCACCCCACCTTAGGTGACAGACAGAGTGAGACCCTGTCTCAGAAAAAATAAAAAGAGAGAGAATATTCTCTCGTGGAAATTCCAATACATGAAAGACTTCCGGTGAATAACAATGATCAAGCACAGAACCATGAAACTTAGAAAGCACCAGAAATATGACTTTCCTCTAAAACTAAGTAACAAAATAATTCCCAATCCTTCCTTATTACACTAGCAATGTTATAATACTAATGCACTAACCTCTAACTCCTTCTCATCAAATGTCTTCAGCAGATGTTGTGGAATTACTTCATTAAATCCTTTCTGCAGAGCCAGGAATTGAGCCTCAATGCCTCGTAAAAATCTCCAGTTCACATAGAGCCTGTAAACATTAGGCAGGGATTTCATATAATCACATACATTTTCAGATCTGGTAATTATTATAAATCTCTACTTTAGCAACATTGCATTTTACAAGCATCTAAAATTAATAACTTAGCCTAACGTCTAAAAATAAACTTCAGAGTAATGAAGATAGATGAATCCAGAGGTGTGACGCGGTTCAGTGTTGATGAAAAGTGGTAACCTTCTACTAACAAAAGCAGAATCAGTAGAGCAACCCTTCAAATCAGAGAAGCTCCCAGGAAATGAGACATCTACCAGAGCTGAGTCTGAAGTTAAAATCTTCATGAATTTCTTTCTAAACTTAAAGCATATAGGCCAATAACTAGAATAAAGAGCTCATTCACTCAAAAGTGACAATTTTTCTGATTTTACTTGCAAATGTAGTTTGAATGTGTTGGGTATTCTGTTTCTATTTGAGGGAGGTAAGGAGGTAGAGAATCCACATATCCAAAATGAAAAGAAATAGTAAAAGCCAATAGCAAGCACTTTTTGATTAAATACTCATTGTTCTCTAGAGGCTATAAAAATTCTGGAAGGTGTCATTTTACCAATAAAAAATGTGCTAAACTACATCTATTGTGTGAATTTATGATTTATAAGTGAATTGCTTTTATTTATCTATCTACCCAAGAAAACCTCTCCATCTCACATATCACCAAACTTACTCATCTGTCAAATTTGTTAACATTTCCAACCTTCGAGAAATAGTTTTCTATTTTAAGAAATAAGTTACTTAACAGTATATCCTTTGGAGGACCATGTTTTTGTTTGTTAAGGGGACAGCAAAACTGTACAACTGTAAAAGTTTTTCTTTGTAATTTTTTATCTCATACCTGTATGAGATAAAGGATTATTACTGTGTGCTCTAAACATGACTGAACCTTGGAGAGCAGGATCCAGGGACTGAGCCTTCCAAAGGAGATAATGCTAAGACTTGGGAAATTCTAATTTGTTCTTTCTTTAATTTTCTTAAGATGGAGTTTTGCTCTGTCGCCCAGGCTGGAGTGCAGTGGTACAATCTCAGCTCACTGCTACCTCTACCTCCTAGGTTCACGCAATTCTCATGCCTCAGCCTCCAAAGTAGCTGGGACTACAGGCGCCTGCCAACACACTCGGCTAAGTTTTGTTATTTTTAGTAGAGACGGGATTTCACCATGTTGGGCAGACCGGTCTCAAACTCCTGACCTCGAGTGATCTGCTGCCTCAGCCTCCCAAAATTGTGGGATTACAAGCATGAGCCACCACACCCAACCTGTTCTTTCACTTTTTTAAGTAGAAGCGTAATGCATACTTATTATGTATATAACAAAAAAATCAAACATTAACTATGGAGACAGTAAAATACGGAAGTCCATTCTTTTACCCTCTCGCTCCTTCCTCCCTATTTCCAGGCTCATCACCTCCACTTCCTCATCCTAGGCAAAAACTTTATTTGGTTGCAGCCTCCTGAACATCTTCAGCATAATTTTTTTTTTTAAATGGACTTTGTTCCTACATAATTTTTCTAAGATTTACTTTTCAAATTTGACAGTTTATGCAGTCTTTCTTTTAAATATGCACATAATAATCTGTTGAATATATAATATAATCATTCTTCTCTAAAAACATTTTAATAGTGCAGTTTTTTTTTTTTAACAAGTAGTATGTAATTGACCGTCTTTCCCCATATTTCTTTAAACATGTATGTTTCTGCAGAAGAGCCCTAAACTCTGAGCTGCTAGTTAAAGGGCACATGCTGGTATCACAGAAAAGCTATGCCAGTGTTCACTCCAATCAAATGGACCTCATTTTTAAACTAGGAATAATTTCGTCAGTAAGATTTGGGAACATAATCTATACAAAAAAGTACAGGATGCAAGTTTCTGTGTACACAAAGTCCAAACTCAAACTCCCAAAACTGACTACCATAGTTCTATGTTTAGAAGACTTTTTACTTCTCATAGGCCAAATTAGCCCAATACATAAAAATTCCTCAATTTTTACTTTAAGAAATCTGAAAAACATTTATTTACATTTATCCCTAAACTCACAATGTGCTCATTTATAAATAGGCTAAGTGCTAATAATATACAGCACAAAAGCCCTTCTGAATTCCCACCTGTGGCAGCTACACCACATGTGGCCCCAATGCTCATGTCTCCTGGTATTTACACCTTTGTATTTACAGCTCCTCCTCCATGCTGAAACAGGGCTGGCTGGCTCAGTTTAACCAGGAGTAGACAGCAGAAGTCATGCTGGCCAGGACCAGGCTTAGGCCTTAAAAAGATCTAGCAGCTTCTGCTTTTGAGCTCTGGAAAGCTGGCCACCCCATAAGAAGTCTGGCTATCTTGTTGGGAGAGAGAGTGGCCCTGGAGAGAGGAAGTGGTCTTTGATATCACACAGGGAGAACCAAGGAACTCAGTCAACAATGAGAACTAGAGCCCAGACGTGACTGTAGTCGACAGCCATGCCAGCTAGCCCTCAGCCATTTGAGCTATCCTAGTTATGAGTCAAGAGGCCATCTTGGCGTGGCCTAGCTCACACCTTGTCCAACAGCAGTGCGTCATCCATCTTGTTCTTTTGCCCAATTTCCTGACCCTTGGAATTGTGAGAAATAATAAAATGGCTATTTTTAAGAAGCCACTAAATTCTGGTGAAGCAGGTTTTGTAACACTGAGTAATGCTATCTAAATATTTAAGTTTGTTCATGCTAATATTCTGGAACATTAAGAAAAAAAATTCACTGTTTACCTAACATATTCTTTTTTATTTTCTTCATTAACAGGGATACTTTTGCCATTTGGTTTAAGTTCATGCTGAATAATTTCACCATATGCATTATGTTCAACACAGAAGGTATGGTCCAAAACACCTGTAATATCATTCTCACTGGATAGGAAAAAGGAAAAGATATGTCACTGGGAAACATAAAATATAGATCCTATAGATATATTAATTGGTGAGACAGATAAAACTAAGATCATTTTTATAGTATGACAAATGTGAGGTCAGATTCAGCTCAGGAACTCTTACACTACCACACCATCTAGTTCTTTAAGGAGAGAAAAGTCAAAGAGCTTTTAACCTTCATAAACACGAAATATTTAACTTCCTGAGTAATGAGAAAGAGCCCTGGCCAAAGGTGGGCCTTGCTAGAACCACCAGCATAAGACAATTTCAGTTATATTTGGCATTCTGAAGAGCCCTACTTAGTACTGTACTCTAAGTGGCCAAGTGTCTGTTTATCCCTATTGAGAAAGCTACTGCATACTTAGTAAAAAATAAACACTGCCAGTGTATCTTCATAAAAGAATGACCTCTTGCAAAACAGAATCAGTTCTTAGCTTAAATTCAACAATTAGCTCTTACTCCAAAAGTATGGTTCCAACAATCACCACTTCATTAAAAGCAATGGCAGCAAGAATTTGCTATTCTAACACATGCAGGTTTGGAACAGGATTTGCCTCACATTGAGGAAATCATTATATAAAGTACTTTTAAAAACAGTATATACGGCCGGGCGCGGTGGCTCAAGCCTGTAATCCCAGCACTTTGGGAGGCCGAGGCGGGTGGATCACAAGGTCAAGAGATCGAGAC